CCCAATCCCAGGGAGCTGGAGCATCCTATCTGGGCTGTCCCGGGAGGGCTCCCTCTTTATTTACCTTCTCTTTCTTGGTGAAATATTTGCCTTGTCTTACATTACCACAGAACAAATAGAATAGTTTAAAAATGTAAATCAGACCAAGTCTTCCTTCCTTTTAAAACACTCCCAATGTGAATGATCTCACCTGGAATTAGCTTTAAAATACTCCCGCAAATGGTGAGTAAATTAGCAAAACCACTTTGGAAAACTCCTTGGCACTGTTATGGCTTGACTTGTGTTCCCCCCCAAAAAAAGATACGTTGTAATCCTAACCTCCAGGACCCCAGAGGTGTGACCTTATTTGGAGATAGGGTCTTTGTAGATGATCAAGTTAAAATGAGGCATTACGATGAACCCTAATCCAGTATGACTGGCATCCATATAATAAGGGGAAATTTGCACACAGACACAAACATGCACAGAGGGAAGACTATGTAAAAGACACACGGAGAAGATGGCCATCCACAAGCCAAGGGGAGAGGCCGAGGACACAGCCTTCCCTCCCCTCCCAGCCTTCAGAAGGAACCAAGCCTGCCAACACCTTGATTTCACACTTGTGACCTCCAGAACTGTGAGATAAAAAATAAATTTTTGTTGTTTAAGATAGCCAGTTTGTGGTTCCTTCTTATGACAGCTCTAACAAACTGAACATACTAAATTTACTAAAGCTGAACATACACCTGCCTTATGACCCAGTCGTTCCACGCTTGGGCATAAGGCACCATAAGTGCATACATGTGTTCACCAAAGACATGTAGTAGAATGTTCACAGCAGAACCATTCGTAATAGCCCAAACCTGAAGACAGCCCAAGCACCCAACAACTGAATGGCTAAATGAACTGTGAATCAGTGGAGCAGTGCAGCAATGAGAGCGAGCTGTCTGCACTCTACAGTGACACACAGCAATATAAGCTTCTCAAGCTAATCAAGATAGAGAACATCCTGTATGATTCTTTTATGTTGCATTTGTGTGTTAGAAGGTTGAGAGGTAGAGATGAAAAGGGAACCCAGAGGGCTTCTGGGTAGCGGGCTATATTCAGGTTATTGATTTGAGTGCCAATTACATGGCTGTGCTTAGTTTTTATGATTGAGCTGCATACTTAATGATGTGTGCACTTTTTGGTATTTGTTATACTTCAATGAAAAGATTTTATTTTAATGGAAATGAGACAGAAAGAGAAAAAGAATCTAGCCCCTCAGCCAAAAAACTGAGGAGTACAGGTGAAAGAGGATTGGCAAAATGTTGATATCCATTGAGCTGGGTGAAGGTTAAGTGCAGTTCCTTATATCATTCTCTATTTTTAGGTTTTACCATTTCCAAAAGAAAAAACAAAACCCCTTTCCACACACACAAACACTCCAATGGCTTCTTGTAGCCCACAACAATACACTCAAAACACCCCACCTGGCCCCTGACATACTGAGGACTATGCTAGTCTTCCTGACCTCAGTTCCTCCTTGGGGCCTTTGCACATGCTGTTTCCTCTGCCAGACAGCTCTAGTTCTTAACACTTCTGCCTGGGTCCTTTTTGACACTCAGGTCCTAACACGAAGTCACCTATTCAGAGATGACCTCCTTGACCATCTAATGAACCCATCCCACCACCACACATCCCTTTGTCACCTCCATTTTACCTCCTTTATAAGACTTCTCACTATCTCAAGGTATCTCTCTCTCTGTCTACTCTTTCACAGTGCATCTTCTTTACTGGTATGTCAGTTCCATGAGAGTGTGATCTNTTCTTAGCAACTTTTATGTGTAGTGGAAAGCTATGTTACTTAGAGTTACAATATTTTTCCTTCTGAGAAATTGGGGAAGATGACACATACCTCTCAATTCCTCCCAACACTACTATTATTCCAAAGAATAATTTAATGTCCTAAAAGGTAAAAAACTGGGAGAAAATATAAGCAACTTGACACAAGGGCTTGTTTCTCTAGTATATAAAAAGCAATTACAAATCAGTCAGAAAGAAAACTAATAACCTAACAGTAATCTGGTCAACAGATAGGTCTAGCCACAGCCCAGCAAAAAAAAAACACAAAAATTTCATGAGTGAAAAACATTCAGATTCAATCACAATAAGATAAACAGCTACATCTGCATTGAGATGCTATTTTTACCTATCATATCAGCAAAGTACACACTATGTTGGGGCATGTGGGGAAACACTCCTGCACATCACTGATGAAGAGGGTAACTTGGCAATGCCTATCAGAATTACAAATGCACTTTACCTGTTAACTCAGCCATTCCACTTCTAAGAATTTATCTTAGGGATGCATTTACACTTACACAAAATGACCTCTCTAGAAAGATATTCAACAAGAGTGGAAATAAGCTGAGCATGGGCAAATGAATTAAGGTGGATCCTTATGATGGAATACTATGCAGTCATCAAAAAGAACAAGGACACTCTTTGTGTCCTGATATGGAACATTCTCCAAGATGTCCTGTTGAGTGGAAAGCTCAAAGGGCAGAAGAGTGGGTGTGATGTGCCAGTTTATGTTTTTTTAAAGTATATCTAGGTATTTATTGGGTGTGCATAGACTGTATTTGGAAAACTGTATCAGAAACTGGCAATGCTATAAATCCTCCCACACTTCTAGAATTTTGAACATTCACCGAATCTGCATAAAGGAATAAATAAATATCCAGGGGTCTTGCCCCTACCCACCCAGTTTAACAGTCACTAGTACCCACCATCCCTGCTTTTCCAACCATTCATGTTTCAACAGTTCGAGGCTGTTCCCTGTCCACCTGCAAAGGCCTCAGCTTTCTCTGTGGGCTCTAGCAAGTGAGCTGAGTACACAGGTGCTCCTGACCACTCACCTTTCTCACTGTAGCTGCTAATCATCTAAGAATGCAGCTTAAGTGTTGAAGTCCACCACTCTTATCTTTGAAGCCGTGTCCACTCTGCCTTCCCTTTCTCAGCTACCCCACCCCAGTAAAATTCACATAGCTGCCTCCCTTCCAAATGAGGTGAGTGGAGGTTGGGCTTCAGGGTCCCCCCTTAATGGACCCTTCCAAGGCCAAGTACTTAATTTTGGTCTCATAACTTCGGTTTCTTTTTTCCTAAAAGTCAGTAGAAATTATACAAACTTCAGGCTCCACAAACCTGTACCCACCCTGCTCTTGACTGCATTTCTCATGATACAATGCATTTGCTTATAAATATTCTTCCTCTGCTAGACTGAAACTCTAGAAGGCAGAGACCATGTCTTTTACTATCCCTAACCCTTAAAACAGCCTGGTAAGCCCCATTAAATGCCCTCTGAATTGAATCAAATGAATAAGGACTGAAATTAAGTCTTATTACTAGTATTTTTCTGATTTCCTATAACCCTTAATTTATTGATTAAAATATTTGTTAACTCCTATAACAACAAAGCAAAACTGAAGGAACAAAACAGCAGCAGACACACAGACTCCAAGAAGGGACTAGCAGTTACCAAAGGGGAGGAGTGGGGGAAGGTGGGTGGGGAGGGAGGGAGAAGAGGACTAAGGAGCATTATAATTAACAATCACAATATAGGTGGGGAAGGCAGTCCAGCACGGAGAAGACAAGTAGTGACTCTATAGCATCTTACTATGCTGATGGACAGTGACTGAAATGGGGTGGGGGAGACTTGATAATATAGGTGAATGTTGGAACCACAATGTTGCTCATGTGAAATCTTCATAAGATTGCATAGCAATGATACCTTAATTTTAAAAATTATCTGTTAACTCCTATCTCTCCCCAGTGTGACTAAGTGAAAATCCCCCTTTCTTCCCAGAAACCTGAAAGAGAGGTGTTGGCAGATTTCTTTCTGAATCATGAAGGAGGGAAAAGATAGGGAAAATGCATCCCAATTTGCAGGGAAGCTCATGGTGAGGGGTCCAGATGAATTTAACCATGCCCAAAACACTGTTACTTGGACCAGAAACTTGGGGGTCAGTCCTGATTCCCACCTTACTTTCCTCTCCTCCATCCAAGCCATCTGCAAGTTCTACCAAAAAAAGTTCTAAACTACCCCTTTTCAGAATTAAAAAATTTGTGAAACAAAGTATGTAGGATCTCAAATGAAATTTGAAATATATTGAAATACAGTCATCAAACATTTTGAATTACGATAATAGGATAATCTATGGACTTTTTTATTAGCACATTAAATAACAAGATCAACCAATAGGTCAGATGACTACTATAATTTCAAAGCAATGATGAATGAAAACAATAATTTCAAGAGATCTGTAACAACCATAATAGAATATGGAATCATCTGTGCATTCCACTGGTGACAAAGTCCAGGTCCTGCTAATGCCACTGTGGTCCATTGCCTATATTCACAATAGCAGGAAATGCTACCTTTTTGGACAGAGAATAGTAACACTTGAGACATAACTTCTTTACTTCTAAAGTTCACAGATCCCCCTGAATTCTATCCAGAGAACCCTCCAGGGGTAAGTCTGTGGAATCCAGGTTCCTGTTCTAAAATATTAACTGAACCATAAAGCCTCCAGTGGCTTTCATCACATCTGTAATGTAATCCAACGCATACCATGGTCTTGCATGACCCAGCCTTCCTCAACTCCCATGAGCCTCTCACTCCCTAACTCTGATCCAGCCACACTGGTCTCCTTCCCGTTACTGAGCCCAGGAAGAAGTCCCCACCTCAGGACCTTTGCACATACTGTTCCCCTCCTCTTGATCTGCACATGACTCCTCCTAATCATTCCAGCCTCTATTAAGTGATNCTTTCAGCCACTCTACGCTTTGCTCATATGAAATCACGGAGCCGAGAAAGCTGAGCCTGGTGGGGTAGAGTTGCCCTCTCTTGCCCTCTCCGTCCCCTTCCTCTTATCCCCAGGTGCAGTCTTGAGGCCCATGGAAGCCCTGGGCCACTCGAGAACCCCAGACCTGCTCTGTGTTCTTCCAGCCCACCCCTACCAGCTTCTGCCCTCCCTGACCTGTTGTGCTCAGACTGCTGGAAGCTTGGGACAACGGCAAGGTTCCGGCACCCCCTTGGGGTGTGACCTGGGAAGAGAGGAAGGAAGGCATGGTTAGGCCACCCTCTCCCAGCAGCCCCCAAGGTACTCCTGTGGACTCAGCTCACATGGTCCCTTCTTCCTCCACACCAGGGGGTGGGGGCTCCACTGGGCCCTCACTCCCTTCCTCAGCATCACCACTCTTTCCACACTAGATGGAATATAGGGATGACCCAGTGTGTCTGGGTACAGCTGTGAACCTGAGCGCACACCCAGGGGTGTGATGATGTCCTTACCTGTGTCTGTGGTTGTGAACCTGTGGGGGGGGGCCTCTATTCCCCGATACCCACCCGCGTATGGCTACATCTGGTAATAACTGGCTCTGCCAGTGTGTGTCCGTGGGTGCTTGCGTCCCCCACATAAGACCCCTAGTTGCCTGGAAACTCTGCCCCTGTGTGACTGCTTCACTCATGTGTCACTGTCCCCAAGGGTGACTCTCCCTGCTTCTGTTCTAGGCACAGGGGACAACCAGGTAAGTTGTGCTTCACACAAGGTGCCTGCCGAGGGGCAAGGTTGCTGGGGGTCGGGGGTACCGGAGCTTTATGCTCCCACCCCCAGAGGGGCTCCTGGTACCAGATGGGGGCTGTAGCTGGCCGGCTTCCCCGGGCTGGGCAGCATGGGGGCTGCGCTGCAGGGGTTGATGCGCTTCTCCTTCTGGCGTCGGTTGCAGAACCAGACGCGGATCACTTCCTTCTCCATGTGCAGCTGCTCTGCGATCAGCAGGATCTCCTCTGAGGTAGGCTTCTGGTTCTGCAGGCAGAGGGCTTGTTAGCCCGGGCCCATCCGCCCGCCAGCCCTCAGGGCCGCCCAGGAGGCGGGACCTCACCGCTAGAAAACTCTTCTCTAAGGCGAAGCGGACGTTTGTCTCGATGCTGGTCCTCTTTTTGCGTCTCCGGCCAGGGAGCCCGTCGAAACCCAGGCTGGGGCTACTCAGCTGGTTGGGGCTGGGCAGGCTTGAGTCCACAGACATAGTCTCTGTGCCCGGGGACACGAGGGCATGAGCGGGCGCCTCCCCGACCCCGCCGCGCGCCGCCCGCGGTGGTGCCCCAGCCCAGTCCCACCTGCGTCGTTGAGCCACTTCTCCAGGAGTGGCTTGAGTTTGCACATGTTCTTGAAGCTCAGGTTGAGGGCCTCGAAGCGAGAGATGGTCGTCTGGCTGAAGTCGTTGCCGTACAGCTTGCCCATGGCCAGGCCCACGTCACCCTGGGCCCGTGCGGCAGGAAGGGGTGGGTGGTGGTCAAGACTGAGGGTTCGGGCAATTGGCACACCCCCGCCCACCAGATGGCCCCGCCCACTAGAGGTAACACCCTTCTCCCCGCCCATTATATGGCCACGCCCATTGGTCCAGCGCCTGGTCACGCCCGCCACCCCCACGCCCACAGCCAGTCCTGCCGGTGGGCCGCAGACCTGCGTGAAGCCCAGCTTGATGCGTCTTTGTTTGAAGGTGCGGGCGAACTGCTCCAGCTCCTCTAGATCACTGGGCTCCTCGGGGTGGGATGGTGGCTCCAAGCATTTGGGGGGCTGCGGGTGCGAGAGGTGCGGGTCTGGCAGCGTGGGGCGGGTCACGGCCTGGTGGGGTGGGCAGGTGGTGGGATACAGGACCGAGGACCTGGATGGGGCTCACCAAAGGCTGCGCGGTTCCTTCTCCCACCCGCCCTCCCTGCTGCTCAGGCTCTTCCTGCAGACTCCCCTCCGCCTGCCCCCAAGAGTCTCCTCCGGGCTCATTGTCAGTCCAATCAAGATGACACTCTCCTGCTCCACAAGGGTCTTCTCATTTCTTTCCGCACATCCCTCCCAACTTCCAAACTCCCAAAAGGGGCAGTCAGCTCCTTTCACCAAGGGCTCTTTTCCTAGAGCTGGGGGCTCCTCCTCTCAGTCAGAGATTCAAGAACTGGCTCTGCTGTCGAATTGCTGGGTTAACTCCGGGCAAATTTCTTAATCTCCCTGGGCCTCAGTTTCCCTGTCTGCAGTATGGGAACAATCATGGCTGCCCTGCCTACCCCATGGGGTTGTTGGGAGATTTGAGTAAAGATGAGTAGGTCGCAAATGAACTAAAAGTACTTTTAAAAATACATGGGCTATTAGGATTTACAAGGAAGCAAGAGTTCCCTCTGGAATGCTTAATTTCCCTAAAAATAAAAGATCTGAACCAGGTGGTGGATGCAGGGATGTTGGTCACACAAGTCCTTGATCCAGTTTTCAAAACCCTGTGGCCAAATGTGTTCTGGAATGTCAAAATTTTGTAGATTTTAGAAGATTACATGGGGCATATATCATAGGTAATGTGACCCCCCCATCAGGGTCAAGGCATCACCCCATAATTGGGCACATTAACAGCTCTCAGCAACACACTGATAACACACAAAAAGAATAAAGAAAAGTCATTTGCTGCGTTGCCTCAGCTCTGAAGCCAAATGACTTCTGGTACCTGCATTACAATAACAACTTGATTTTCTGAACATTCTGGATTTCAGAATTGCAGCTAAGTTCTGTATTAGCCTCTAAACTTTTTGGGTCTTCTGAAATACATGAAATAGTTCATGTATTTTTTGAAGGGGCTGCTAAAAAAAAATGGTAGGAGGGAACTCTGAAATCTGTAAAGGACGGTAAAGGATTATTTTTAAAGTCTAGACCCCAGTCAGAAAGCTGAAAGAAAGGTCACAAGGGCCAGGCAGGAGGACGCCGAGGTGGTCTGGAGAGTTCATGCCCTGTGTGAGGGGAATCCTGCTCCAACCAGCAGCCAGCAGCCCACTGCAACCGTGTCATGGGGATGAAGATCCAGCCTTGTCAGAGCTTCTGGTTTGTCAAGAGAAGCTGGGAAGCTGGTGTTTTCTGAGTATTTTGTTGACAACTAATTCAATTTTTAAAATATGGTATGGGCTGAATAAAATGCATTTGTAGGCCCCCATTTTCAGTATCCAGTCTTGGAAGGGGACGTGAATCAGTACCAAGCAGACATCTTCCTCAGTGTACCCTCCATTTGGAGTCCTGGAAGGGACCCAGAGCATTTGTAATATACGGGCTGTTTGTGTGTTTGTGCATGTGTGCTTGTTGGGTCCATAGGGTCAGATACAAACCTTTGTCAGATTCTCAAAGGAGTTCATGGGTCTGAGGGGTTAAGAACCACTGGTCTGGTTGACTCCCCTCATCCTACAGAGGAAAAAGCTGACCCAGACAGGGAGAGAGGCTTGCCTAAGGGGCCAATTAGTGGCAGAGCAGACTGGCCCCAGGTCTCCCTACTCCTGTCCTGGCCCCCATGGCTGTGGGGTGGATCAGTTGGAGAGGAGACCTTCACCCCCACATCCCTCTTTACCCAGCCTCCAGCAGGCCCTGCTGCTGGCCCACCCTGGGGCAGTTGGTGGTCACTCTCACCTGTGTGGGCAGCCCAGCCCGGGGCTGGGAGGTCAGAAGAGCTCCCTGGGTTTGCTGAGGTAGCTGGAATAGATTTGGTGTTGGTAGCAGGCCTGGGGAGACAAGGGGAAATGCACAAGGTGATGGAGGGGGCAGGGAGAGTCCTGTGGAGGCATTAGGGAGGCCATCTTGTGGGGGGGCCTTACTTGGCTGAGTCGGCTGGGCCTGTGGCAGCAGGAACTGAGCAGGTGGCTGGAGGTGGTGACCCGGCACAAGCACGAGCTGCTGTAGCTGGAGGAGCTGCTGTATGTCCTGGCAGGGAATGGATGAATAGAAGGACAGCCTGAGTCCTGGCCTGGCTTCTCCCTCTGCATCCCAGAGCTGCCAGGCATTTTCCACAGGGTGGCCTGGCACTGGGCAGTGACGAATGGAGTATAAGACTGAACAGCATCCCTGTGCTAAGGGCCCCCAGGAGGCTCCCCAATCCCAGGGAGCTGGAGCATCCTATCTGGGCTGTCCCGGGAGGGCTCCCTCTTTATTTACCTTCTCTTTCTTGGTGAAATATTTGCCTTGTCTTACATTACCACAGAACAAATAGAATAGTTTAAAAATGTAAATCAGACCAAGTCTTCCTTCCTTTTAAAACACTCCCAATGTGAATGATCTCACCTGGAATTAGCTTTAAAATACTCCCGCAAATGGTGAGTAAATTAGCAAAACCACTTTGGAAAACTCCTTGGCACTGTTATGGCTTGACTTGTGTTCCCCCCCAAAAAAAGATACGTTGTAATCCTAACCTCCAGGACCCCAGAGGTGTGACCTTATTTGGAGATAGGGTCTTTGTAGATGATCAAGTTAAAATGAGGCATTACGATGAACCCTAATCCAGTATGACTGGCATCCATATAATAAGGGGAAATTTGCACACAGACACAAACATGCACAGAGGGAAGACTATGTAAAAGACACACGGAGAAGATGGCCATCCACAAGCCAAGGGGAGAGGCCGAGGACACAGCCTTCCCTCCCCTCCCAGCCTTCAGAAGGAACCAAGCCTGCCAACACCTTGATTTCACACTTGTGACCTCCAGAACTGTGAGATAAAAAATAAATTTTTGTTGTTTAAGATAGCCAGTTTGTGGTTCCTTCTTATGACAGCTCTAACAAACTGAACATACTAAATTTACTAAAGCTGAACATACACCTGCCTTATGACCCAGTCGTTCCACGCTTGGGCATAAGGCACCATAAGTGCATACATGTGTTCACCAAAGACATGTAGTAGAATGTTCACAGCAGAACCATTCGTAATAGCCCAAACCTGAAGACAGCCCAAGCACCCAACAACTGAATGGCTAAATGAACTGTGAATCAGTGGAGCAGTGCAGCAATGAGAGCGAGCTGTCTGCACTCTACAGTGACACACAGCAATATAAGCTTCTCAAGCTAATCAAGATAGAGAACATCCTGTATGATTCTTTTATGTTGCATTTGTGTGTTAGAAGGTTGAGAGGTAGAGATGAAAAGGGAACCCAGAGGGCTTCTGGGTAGCGGGCTATATTCAGGTTATTGATTTGAGTGCCAATTACATGGCTGTGCTTAGTTTTTATGATTGAGCTGCATACTTAATGATGTGTGCACTTTTTGGTATTTGTTATACTTCAATGAAAAGATTTTATTTTAATGGAAATGAGACAGAAAGAGAAAAAGAATCTAGCCCCTCAGCCAAAAAACTGAGGAGTACAGGTGAAAGAGGATTGGCAAAATGTTGATATCCATTGAGCTGGGTGAAGGTTAAGTGCAGTTCCTTATATCATTCTCTATTTTTAGGTTTTACCATTTCCAAAAGAAAAAACAAAACCCCTTTCCACACACACAAACACTCCAATGGCTTCTTGTAGCCCACAACAATACACTCAAAACACCCCACCTGGCCCCTGACATACTGAGGACTATGCTAGTCTTCCTGACCTCAGTTCCTCCTTGGGGCCTTTGCACATGCTGTTTCCTCTGCCAGACAGCTCTAGTTCTTAACACTTCTGCCTGGGTCCTTTTTGACACTCAGGTCCTAACACGAAGTCACCTATTCAGAGATGACCTCCTTGACCATCTAATGAACCCATCCCACCACCACACATCCCTTTGTCACCTCCATTTTACCTCCTTTATAAGACTTCTCACTATCTCAAGGTATCTCTCTCTCTGTCTACTCTTTCACAGTGCATCTTCTTTACTGGTATGTCAGTTCCATGAGAGTGTGATCTCAACAGTTTTGGTCACTGCTGTAATCTCAGCAGCTAGAACAGCATCCAGCACCCAGTAGGTGCTCCACATACTTGGTTCAATGAACCAAGATTGATGCTCCATAACTTTCTTAGCAACTTTTATGTGTAGTGGAAAGCTATGTTACTTAGAGTTACAATATTTTTCCTTCTGAGAAATTGGGGAAGATGACACATACCTCTCAATTCCTCCCAACACTACTATTATTCCAAAGAATAATTTAATGTCCTAAAAGGTAAAAAACTGGGAGAAAATATAAGCAACTTGACACAAGGGCTTGTTTCTCTAGTATATAAAAAGCAATTACAAATCAATCAGAAAGAAAACTAGTAACCTAACAGTAATCTGGTCAACAGATAGGTCTAGCCACAGCCCAGCAAAAAAAAAACACAAAAATTTCATGAGTGAAAAACATTCAGATTCAATCACAATAAGATAAACAGCTACATCTGCATTGAGATGCTATTTTTACCTATCATATCAGCAAAGTACACACTATGTTGGGGCATGTGGGGAAACACTCCTGCACATCACTGATGAAGAGGGTAACTTGGCAATGCCTATCAGAATTACAAATGCACTTTACCTGTTAACTCAGCCATTCCACTTCTAAGAATTTATCTTAGGGATGCATTTACACTTACACAAAATGACCTCTCTAGAAAGATATTCAACAAGAGTGGAAATAAGCTGAGCATGGGCAAATGAATTAAGGTGGATCCTTATGATGGAATACTATGCAGTCATCAAAAAGAACAAGGACACTCTTTGTGTCCTGATATGGAACATTCTCCAAGATGTCCTGTTGAGTGGAAAGCTCAAAAGGCAGAAGAGTGGGTGTGATGTGCCAGTTTATGTTTTTTTAAAGTATATCTAGGTATTTATTGGGTGTGCATAGACTGTATTTGGAAAACTGTATCAGAAACTGGCAATGCTATAAATCCTCCCACACTTCTAGAATTTTGAACATTCACCGAATCTGCATAAAGGAATAAATAAATATCCAGGGGTCTTGCCCCTACCCACCCAGTTTAACAGTCACTAGTACCCACCATCCCTGCTTTTCCAACCATTCATGTTTCAACAGTTCGAGGCTGTTCCCTGTCCACCTGCAAAGGCCTCAGCTTTCTCTGTGGGCTCTAGCAAGTGAGCTGAGTACACAGGTGCTCCTGACCACTCACCTTTCTCACTGTAGCTGCTAATCATCTAAGAATGCAGCTTAAGTGTTGAAGTCCACCACTCTTATCTTTGAAGCCGTGTCCACTCTGCCTTCCCTTTCTCAGCTACCCCACCCCAGTAAAATTCACATAGCTGCCTCCCTTCCAAATGAGGTGAGTGGAGGTTGGGCTTCAGGGTCCCCCCTTAATGGACCCTTCCAAGGCCAAGTACTTAATTTTGGTCTCATAACTTCGGTTTCTTTTTTCCTAAAAGTCAGTAGAAATTATACAAACTTCAGGCTCCACAAACCTGTACCCACCCTGCTCTTGACTGCATTTCTCATGATACAATGCATTTGCTTATAAATATTCTTCCTCTGCTAGACTGAAACTCTAGAAGGCAGAGACCATGTCTTTTACTATCCCTAACCCTTAAAACAGCCTGGTAAGCCCCATTAAATGCCCTCTGAATTGAATCAAATGAATAAGGACTGAAATTAAGTCTTATTACTAGTATTTTTCTGATTTCCTATAACCCTTAACTTATTGATTAAAATATTTGTTAACTCCTATAACAACAAAGCAAAACTGAAGGAACAAAACAGCAGCAGACACACAGACTCCAAGAAGGGACTAGCAGTTACCAAAGGGGAGGAGTGGGGGAAGGTGGGTGGGGAGGGAGGGAGAAGAGGACTAAGGAGCATTATAATTAACAATCACAATATAGGTGGGGAAGGCAGTCCAGCACGGAGAAGACAAGTAGTGACTCTATAGCATCTTACTATGCTGATGGACAGTGACTGAAATGGGGTGGGGGAGACTTGATAATATAGGTGAATGTTGGAACCACAATGTTGCTCATGTGAAATCTTCATAAGATTGCATAGCAATGATACCTTAATTTTAAAAATTATCTGTTAACTCCTATCTCTCCCCAGTGTGACTAAGTGAAAATCCCCCTTTCTTCCCAGAAACCTGAAAGAGAGGTGTTGGCAGATTTCTTTCTGAATCATGAAGGAGGGAAAAGATAGGGAAAATGCATCCCAATTTGCAGGGAAGCTCATGGTGAGGGGTCCAGATGAATTTAACCATGCCCAAAACACTGTTACTTGGACCAGAAACTTGGGGGTCAGTCCTGATTCCCACCTTACTTTCCTCTCCTCCATCCAAGCCATCTGCAAGTTCTACCAAAAAAAGTTCTAAACTACCCCTTTTCAGAATTAAAAAATTTGTGAAACAAAGTATGTAGGATCTCAAATGAAATTTGAAATATATTGAAATACAGTCATCAAACATTTTGAATTACGATAATAGGATAATCTATGGACTTTTTTATTAGCACATTAAATAACAAGATCAACCAATAGGTCAGATGACTACTATAATTTCAAAGCAATGATGAATGAAAACAATAATTTCAAGAGATCTGTAACAACCATAATAGAATATGGAATCATCTGTGCATTCCACTGGTGACAAAGTCCAGGTCCTGCTAATGCCACTGTGGTCCATTGCCTATATTCACAATAGCAGGAAATGCTACCTTTTTGGACAGAGAATAGTAACACTTGAGACATAACTTCTTTACTTCTAAAGTTCACAGATCCCCCTGAATTCTATCCAGAGAACCCTCCAGGGGTAAGTCTGTGGAATCCAGGTTCCTGTTCTAAAATATTAACTGAACCATAAAGCCTCCAGTGGCTTTCATCACATCTGTAATGTAATCCAACCCATACCATGGTCTTGCATGACCCAGCCTTCCTCAACTCCCATGAGCCTCTCACTCCCTAACTCTGATCCAGCCACACTGGTCTCCTTCCCGTTACTGAGCCCAGGAAGAAGTCCCCACCTCAGGACCTTTGCACATACTGT